GTTTACGTATATCATTATTGTTTTACAATTATGTGACATTACCTCATTGTAAAAAAAAAAACATATTAGGAAATTTCTATGTATGAATAAAAATTTTACTTTGCAATCAGGAAGGAAAAATAATTTTTACTTGAAGTTTCATTTTGCGTAATTTTAGTATTATTATTATTATTACTTTGACGATGCAATTTATTTATTTATTAATCCTTTATAAATTAGAGATTGGAACTGGCTAAAAAAACCTTAACTGGTTAATTAATTATATAAAAATTTTTCTTTAAAATATTTATTTTGTCAAAAAATTTAAGCGGAAAATAAAAATTACATTATTCCATGTTTTACAAAAAATGTGGGATTTAATAATTTACTGAATTACAATGCTCCAAAGGCTTCGATGAGTAGTAAATCAATTTAGTTGTAACTCTCGACCCTCTTACATTCGTTTATCTATAATGTGGATGTGACTTCACTTCACCTACTGAAACAAAAAATTACAATTAAAGCGGGACGTTTTGTCATTTTAAATTTCTACAAAAAAAACCGATTCAGGTTTCTGACCACTAATTAATTTTCCTATCAATTAATTAAGAATGATCTGCATATTATTTAAAGATACGAGATCAAAACCGTCAATTAGATCAAAAAAATTAGTTACACGAATAAAACTTAATTCAAAAGAAACCCTTTGTTTCATTTTTCTTCCAATAAGCAAATAGGGCCAGATACTTTCACCAATTATAATCTTTAAAAACAGGTTCAGTCAAATGACCTCGGAGACGGTTTTTCTGGAAAAAGTCCCATATATCATCAGACATGACATGATACTCGGAGCATGCAAAGTAAGATTTATATTTGATTATTCAAATAATAATAATAATAACAATAATGTATAATTATCTCTAAATTTATTTTCTTGTAGGATATCAATTTCTTTAATTTGACGACTCCAATAAAATGAATCATATATGTGCGTCTAAATTGTTTTATATAGGATGTGTTTAAAGTCAAAATAAACGCCTAGTAAACAAAAGATCTTTAAGAAATCTAAGACGCATTATTTAATCAAATTTAAATATCTGTGTATGTAACAGTCGAATTAGACAGACATTGTTTGTTTTTTTTTTCGTAAAAGTCAACATAAACACAAGAAATTAAGAAATGTGAATTTAATTTTTCTGTTTTTTTTATTTTTTAAAAATGACAGGCAAAAATGTAAAAAAGAAAGAAAGAAAAGTAAAAGAAGGTGGATATAACAAAAATCCGTGCGGAAAATGCAAAAAGAGAAGACAGAAATGTAAACTTTCATGCCCCGGACGTAAAAATAACAGTTCTGAATTCGGTAATAATTTATAAATATAAATATAAATATAATTTTTTGCGATTATTGAATATTTCTAATTAGCATCAATTATATTTTATTTTTTAAAAAAAAAAAGATGAAGAAATGAAAAGCCATGTTTTAAATGGCAAAAAAAACATGTGTTTTTCAAAATCTGCATCTACAAATGGAACTGGAGATGTATTCCAAGGATATCCAACCGATTTTGGAAAAGGATATTCCTATTCTGAGAACAATCTATCAAGTGAAGATTTTCTACAGGATACCTTTATTTATCAAATGATGGAAGGAATTACGATTCCATGTATTTCAAACGAAGTTTTTCTAAAGGATACCTTTACTTATCAAATGATAAAAGGAATTGACATTCCATATAATTCAATTCCGTGGTTCAAATTTGATATCGAATTTAATAATTCATAGAATTATATATAAAAATTATTTATTATATGTATTTTTTAATAAAAAATGTATTTACTTATTATTACAAAAGTGTTGAGGGCGGAACATATCAAATAAACTTATTGATAATTGCAATATAACAACTAGAATGAGAATTTTCATTAAAGATTATGATGGCAACTATTGGAAGACTAATATATTAATGTGTAAAAAATCCAATTATTATTACTATTTGTTTTTTTATTGACTATTGTACTAAGATTAATATATAAATATTCCTGGTGACGTATCTACTGGCGGAATTTGGAATTGGGACAAGGACAACGATTTATCTCAGCTTGCACCAGGATTGGTATTTTTTTTGATTTTTTTCTAGACAAAAATCAAATATTCTCTGAATTTTTGAAATTCATGATATAATTTGTCATGCCACACGTTGCAAAAATAATTATAACTTTTTCTTATTAATTACAGAATAATCAGATTAGAAAAAAATATCATATTTGCATGTTATGTTGATATTTGGAATATTCATAGCTGTCTTCATGCATACACATCCCCAACTTCGATTGTATTTACATTGTCGGCAAGTAAAGATTTGTCTTTCCTCACTATAATTTCATTAATCCTTATTTCCTTATAATATTCCTTCAATTTTCTTTGTAAATATATAGTTTTCCACGATTTGAATTAATTAAAAAAGATTTCCAAAAACCCAAATGATATCCTTATATTTGAAAAATTTAGCTTACTGAACTAATTTGATCTTGGAACAATATAATGAGCCTTTAGTACCTCTGTATCTTGCTAAAATATATATTTTATATTTCCAATCCGTCCATATGCACAATTTTAGTGATCTAATACATACATTAATCCTACTCCTGCGGCATCAGCTGTGGTTGTAAGAGAAATGGTATCAACAAGCTCTTCAAAATCATATAAATGTCACAACTATCATGATCATTCTTTTATTAAAAAAGTAAATTGACAAAATGGGTTATAAAACCAATACACAAAAATTTCTAAAAGCCTATTTATTCTTCTTCTGTAGTTCCAGGACCCGAAAACTATACATAGGTTACTGCCACAGCCGAGTCAATTCTTAAAAATTTACTCGATGCCATTATCATAAATTCTTAATTTTTCAAAAAGAATCGTGCACCCACATTGTTGTTATTACTATCACTGTTACTATCATTAATTTGAATAAAAAAACCTATATACTGTATATGTTCGACAAGTATAAATGTCAAGTATTTTCTGCCAAATTCGAATTTTATAATTATTGATTAAGATTTTTTTTTTTAAACAGTTATAACATTCTAAATAATTACTGCAATCATTATAAGCAATATTTATATAAAAATTCCTGATGTTTTTTCTTAAAAAGTCCAGAAAAGGAAAAGAGAAGTTCACCGAAGAAGGAGTACAGAAAAACCAAATTCCAAAGAGGATAATGAAAAAGTAGCAGTAATAAGGATTAAACATCAATTAGAAAATTTATAATTTCCATATCCAAGATTTCATGCAAAATAACTTTAAAACAAACTTTTTTCATAAATATCCTTTTTTGTGTTTAAAATCCTATGTGCACTATTAGAATAAATGTGGGGAAAGAGAAAGAAGAGGTTATCTTTTTTCAAATCGACTAAATATAATAAATGAATCTAAATGGCCGTGTAACCAAAACCAAAACAATAGACTAAATCAAGAAGTTCATTTTGAATGGTAACCAAGGCTAGTTATATTAATATCAGATAATTGTCAAAGGGAAATACTAATTGTATTCAGTATTTAAATGTGGCTTTTTTCGTTTATCTCTAATGGAAACATAAACTTTGAAAAGAAATCTTTCAAAGAACAAAAAAATGCTCATACAAAATTACCAAAAAAGAATGCAGTAATAATTTTACTCACATGTTTAGAAACTAAAATTCGACTTGCTGTTTTTTGAACAATTTCAATACACATGAATAAAAAACAAAAGCACCAATAATTTATTACTACAAACAAATTTTTTTTATCGTACTCTAACTATTTATGCTAGAAATCCTGCTACAGAGCAGAATTGCAAAGACCACAAACGATGAGATGTTAAATGAACTGGAATCCTGGCGGTTAGCTACTACTAATGATTTATATAACCCAATTTCTCTCAATTGTGCTTATTGGGAACAACTTTATGACTTTACAATAACTATGCTCACCTGGTGCATATAATTAAGTCAATTTTGTGTTGAAAGAATCTCAAGCTCATTTTGAATCATCATATGCTTTTCTGATTATCTTTTTTATAATTAATAATTAATAATGTATATCACTTATTATTTGGAAACATCTGTTCTTGTTTTAATCTTGATTGAATTTAATTGTGTAATAATTACAATCACAAGTGGCGTGATTGAGAAAATAAAGTGGGTCATACTGCAACGAAACCACAATGGCACAAAGTAATTTGAAATTACAAATATAGCGGATGTAACAATTCTAATAGCACTCAAAATGTTGCACGAAGCCTTCTCCAAAACGTATTCTTGACTGCCCAGTGGATGGTGGAACATGTATGAGCGTACAGAGAAGCTCAACCCGATTAAAGAACCCTCGACCACCGGAACCATAACACTCCTCTTTGTAATCACAATATATTGGGAATGGTTGCACCTATTTTGAAAATGTTTCAAAAAAAAAAACAGGGTTCGGATTTCTAGATTTTTTTAATTAATATATTTTAAATTTAAACTTAAATTTTTCAAGTTGACAAAGAATCTAGAACTATGATCGTAATGCAAGTTATGCAGAATAATAATAATGCACAGCACAAACGGAAAATTGAATTCCTGTGGGCAAAATGTTTACACACATATTCGGTTAAATCTTGTTTCAAACTAGAATAAATACTTGAATTTATTTATGAAGTTACATGACATGACTATTATTTATCGCCAAAAAAAGTAAGACTCAACTTTTTCACAAATACAAAAGATTTTTTCAAGCTTCATTAAAGAATAAAAACGAAAGATTATGTCTCCCCATCTAATATCTAAGAATATTGTGTGTGATCTAACAAAAAATTATTTATTATATACTATTTATATAAATAAAATCTATATAAAATAAATAAATCCATTAAAAGAATGGGTGAAATTATTTTTTATTTCTCCAAAAAAAAAGAGAAATGTTTTATAACCACCAGAGAGTAAGAATGGAAAGGAATTCATCAATTCAATTCCATCTTCTTCTGCTGATGGTATGTTTAATGCTATTATCATGTAATAAAGTAGAAACTCGACTTTTAGATGGTAGCGATAATAATAAAAACAATCCAGCTTCGGGTACTCCGCAACAAAATTTTCAAGCGAAATATCCTCCTGAACCTTTTTTTGGGTAATTAAATTGTTTTAGTGCCGTTATCAAATGATCAATTAATGAGTTTGATGCTTTTCTTTCATGAAAAATATTAGTCCAGACGGTGATTCGATGATAAAATGTCCTTCTGACATTGTTAACGACGCTGACCTAACACAAAAACCACCTAATTGTGCAGATCCACTACCAGCTGATAATTATCCAATGCCAAGATGTATTTCTAACATTTTAGCAAATTATCGTTTGGGCAAGTTTGATATTGGGAAAGCAATGAGTTATCGATCTAAAAGACGAACTAGTCATTTGGTGAATAATCTTCTTTTTAACAATTGCTTATTCTCGAATTTGACTTTTTTGAATTGGCTAACTTTTCGTTTGGTTTTCTTTCTAGACTACTTTTTTTGCTGAATTTGTTGGTTATGATCTTATCAGTTCATCAAATAATGTTAAATCAGATCATCAACTGTATATACCATCTGATGACAAAACGTATAATTCATATTCATATAGTTCATTACCAGGTCAATTAAGCGATCTTAGGTTTTTACCTTTTAATCGATCGGATTTTCTTAATACTACTACACAAAAATCCAAGCGCACTAGTTACAATAATTTAACTCCTTTTCTGGACTTGAGTCCTATTTATGGTGTCACTGCTGAAAATGCAAAAAATCTTCGTGAAGGTAATAGAGGAAAATTAAAGACCAGTGGAAATGCATATGATCCTTACCCATTTAAGGATCCAACAACAGGAAATTATGTTACTGGACCTGTTGGAAAGCGAGCAATTAATGTTTTTACAATGGCTATTCTGACTATTTGGTTACGTGAACATAATAGATTATGTGATGAGTTTTATGAAAAAAATGGTGATGCATGGACTGATGATCAATATTTTGAAGAGGCTGTAGGTTTTATATTTGTTAATGATAGTAATATAGTAATAATTATAATAATAATTAATTTTTTAATTTTTTAATTAATCAGAGGAAATGGAATATTGCATTTTATCAAAGAGTTGTTACTGAAGAATATCTTGGTGTTATACTGGGTAAACCATTATCACCATATCAAAAATATGATCCAGATCTAACTCCAGGAATTGATGTTTTTTTTTCAACAATAACATTCAGATATAGTCATAGTGAGCTGAGTGATTTTTATCAAATTCAAGATGAATTTGGTAATGCAATCGTGGAATTATCATTACAAAATACTATGAAACTAAATTTACTAGAAAAATTTGGTGTAGCAAATTTGTTGGGATCAATGTCTTTGCAACGTCAAGAAGATGTTGATATATATTATTCTGATGCAACAAGAAATGTTCAATCACCTGAACCAAACACTTATGATCTTGTGGCATTTGATGCACTAAGAGCTAGAGATAGAGGTATGAACTTGTATGTGTGTGTGCACATGTGTGTATATGTGTTTTGTGTATTTATATAAAAAAATTTTTTATAGGAATTGCATTATATAATGATGTTCGTCAGGCATATGGTTTAGAAAAAAAAGATTCATGGGCAGATATAACTTCGGTTAAAGAAATACAGGATAACCTACAACAATTGTATCCTAATGGAACTAATCAA